GGAAAACCCCCCTAAAGACCCCTGGCTTTCCCCGTGCAGGCTGGGGGCCCCCGATGTGCCCACGGGTGCGGGGGTGCAGCCAGGGCTCGGGGCGGCGCATTCCTGCCCCCCTCAAAAGCCGTCTGATGGCGGAGCCGCCGAACAGCCCCCTCTTCATGCCGATTATTTTAATCACAAGCGCGTCTTGTCTCAGCGGCCGAATGTCTTTCATAGACAGCGGAAAGTGAAATTTGTGCAATGTCTGTAGGAGGCTGAAGAAAGGCCCTTTGTGCGCCCCCCGCGCGGGTGCTGGGCAGCCTCCAGCAGCACCCTCTGCCGCCCCGCGGCTCCCAGCCGCCAGCATGAATGCGCCGCTTGTCCAGAGACCGGGACCCGCTCTTAAAGCCAGAGCTGGGCTCCCCCGGCTAGGCCCGCCGGTGGCCCCGGCGGGGCGGGCACGGCTCCGGGGGGGCCCCCCAGCCGCGACCCCAGGATGTTTCTGTACTGGAGGAAGCGGGGCGCCTATGAGCTGGAGGCTTTGCCCCCTGGGCTGGCCGGGCTGGAGTACGGGGCGGTGGAACGCTTCTCCTGGAGCTCCAGCCTGGACATCAGCGAGGAGCTCGGGGGTAGGTGGCTGGAGGAGCGCGGGGGGCCGGTGGGCTGTGGGCAGTTGTGCTTGGCCAAAAACCTCCAGCCCTGGCAACAAGGGTGAGGGGCTGGGAGAAGCTCCAGCCACAGTGGGGATGCCGCGGGGATGTGCTGGGGAATGCAATACGGATGCTGCAGTAAGGATGCTGCAGGTGCAGCTGGGGAGCACCAAGTAAACTGCCCCGTGCTGCTGGTACTGCTCCCTCCTAGCTCAGATGGATGTCTGAAACAGTGAGCTTCTGCAGCGCGCTCTGATGTAAGCGCAGTCTGGTTTCGAACTCCCAGCGTTTGCCATCACTGGGAGAGCTGGGCGTGATAACACAGCCGGCAGCAGCAGGAGGAGGAGGAAGAGGTGACTGGCCGGGGAGAGGAGCTGGTGGGGACAGGATCCCTCCTCTGGCCCCCAAAGTGTCTGGCGGGGACCGGGCACCCTCCTGCCTCTGCCAGAAACTGGGGCTCCCTCTGCATGCTCCCTGCTGAGGAGCTCCCACCCGGCACGCCTAAGGCCCTAGTGTGCGCGTGACCTGCTGCCAGGGTCAGCGTTTGGGAAAAGCCACGTGGCTCTGGCCGTGCCAGTGGCTGTGGCATGGGGCTGATCCCTGGCATTGCCAGCCACTCCGGCCGGCCTCGAGTTTTCAGTGAGCTTGGAAAACTTTCCCTTGGGTGCATGAAAGATTTTCTTATTTGTTTCCGTTATTATTCCCAATAGGTCAAGTGAAACGGTGGGGGGCGAGGGGCTGGCCCAGCCCGGCTGGTGCTGTGGGGTGGCTGCGGGGACAGAGCCTTCATTGTGCTCCTGCCGCGGGGGTAGTGTGGCAGCCCCAGCTCCCAGCCCTCTCCCGAGGGGTGGTGAGCCGAGCCCTGCTCGGCTGCTCCTGCGCTGTCATCCAGCAGCGCCCACCGTGCCGCGGCAGCCCCTGCTGGCATGGGCAGCCCTGCCTGCACCCGGGGTCGCCTCCTGGCCAGGAGCTGGGGCAGCCAGCACCGGTCCGGATTGACTCCCCTCTCTGGGCAGAAGCAGCAGCTTTTTTGGCGCTGCCCTAAAAGGCAGTTTTTCCCGCAGACTGAGTCTAACCCCAGCCTTGGCCATGGTCCCGCTCGGGCCAGCGTGGATGCTGTTTTTGTTGGCAGGAGGGATGTGGGAGAGGGGAGTGGCACAGTGGGGGAAGCCCCTGTGCCGGCTGCCCTGCTGCTGGGGCCGGCGTGGCCATGCTGTCCAGTGCAGCCATGCCACCTGGGCTCTCCTCATCCCCTGCACCGGCTCCATGCCTGGCAGGGCAGCTCCCCATCGGAGCATCCCTGCCCCGCAGCAGGGCTGCCCTGCAGGACAGTGTTCGTGCTGTTTTTTTGCCGCAAGCCATCCGGAGTCTGTTATTTTTAAATGATTAGACAAGACGCATAACAAAAGCCTTCAAAATAGGATTTGTCCCCAAGGCCGATTTAACTGTCAAAGCTTAACGTGGCTCCTAAGCCCCTTTGGGGGCTGGCAAGTGGCAGATTTAGCATTCCTGCTGCAGCCCCGGTCCGTGCCAGCCCCGCGAGAGCTGGGGCAGGTCTGTGTCCTGATCCTGCGACTTGGCGTGCTGGGCAGGAGGTGCCAGATCCTGATGCTGCAGGATGCACGGTGCCTTCCCCCAGCAGGGATGCAGTGCTGGCTCTTGGGCATGGGGTTTCATCCCCTTGGATAGGCCGCGGGGCAGGCAGGAGCAGGCAGGAGCAGGCAGGCCCAGCCTCGGCAGAGCCTGAGTGCTTTGCTAAGCTCTTAAACCCAGGGTTTGCAGTGTGGGAGCCTCAGCACGGCCCCCCTGTGCGGGCAGGGCTGGGAGCGGGGCTGGAGGGGCTTACCGTGGCACTGCGGCACTGACACCCCCCTCTCTCCCGCAGCCGAGCCGTGCCCACCAGAGGAGACAGTGCTGCGCTGCCAGAACCCTGACTGCACCGGCGAGAGGAAGGCGGCCAAGGTGGGTCCTGCGGGGTGGTGGGCAGCGCCGGGCAGCTGCCTTCTGCTGGCGCCTGGCGTCTGTCTTGTGGGTGAGAAGGGGCAGCTGGCAGCTCTGCCTGACCTGCCGCTCCCCAAAGTCCCCCTGGCATGGCCGGCAGCCCCCTGCCAGCCATGTCCCCCCAGCCCATGCTGGGCATGCATTCCCTGGTCACGTCGCGGTCCTGCCGGCATTTAACGGCATGGCGGCGGCTTGCCTGTTTCCCCTAGCTGGTGTGATTCTGGCTAATCCGCTCCAGCCCGTCTGTTCCCCTGCTTGCTAACATGGTGCTAGGGCGACTTAGGGTCCCTTCTCTCCCACTGGCTGGCTGGTTGCGGGACGGACTGGACCCACACACTGGCTCCCAGTGAGTCCCTGGGGTTCCCACGCCAGACTGTGGGCAGTGTCTTTCTGGCGCAGCAGGCAGGACAGCAGCTTGGCCGCGCCGGGAGGTGTGCTGCTGCACTTTGTTTGCACAGCTGGGGTGGCCGGGCCAGCGCCAGCAGGGGCACGCGTGGTGCTGGGCTGTAGCCGCCCCAGGGTGCAGCCGGGACCGCCAGGAGAGACACGCTAGGGCCACCCTG